TCAAAGGTTTTCACACTGTTTGTGCCTGCTAATCGTAGTTTTCAGAATGATCCAGATAAGGAGCATATCGGCCGCCTAAAATACATTCCCGAACACGGAATTGACGGAAGATATTATCCTTACGTGTACGTACCAAACTACCATCAACCAATAGTGAGTGCACTTCTTTATCACCACATCGTTGTGTACAGCTCAATGAACAGCAAGTAGAAGTAGTTCCATTCTTTTGTGATGGCGGTGTGGGCAGCTAGCACGTGATATATCTGAAGAATGAGTAGAACCTTTGTGCTCTTCTTTTCTCACCTTTCTTTGCAGTTTACAATAATCAAGTTTTTTTGCAGGCGATGGTGAAATTTGAATCACTACCACGTAATAAGCTTGTTCTGGTGGAATGCCGTGCATATGCGCTGAATATTGAGCATGATATCACGTCACGACTTGGGCTCGTTCATTTTGAGCTATTCCTCGAGGATAAAATGGTGGACACAAAGCCATCTTCCTTGTGATTCCAAGCGAGTACAGTGCAACACGACGTGTACGCCGGTTCACGTTCTTTCCATTCGTCTCTTTCGTGTGATCCCTCTGCTGTGGTCCTCCAGACTGACCTTCCAATTTCCCACAAAAGTACTCGATGGGGTCCACTGTTCTTGCAGTTTATTAGAACTTTCCATTTTCTCGAGTTCATCCCTTTATGGACTCTGTTGTATTTCACGTATCTGCCTAGCTGATCACTCACACTCGTATTTCGTGTCAGCTTCGATTCGGCCTAAAAGCCAATAGGTGTAGTTTTCAGAGTTACAGATATGACTCAGAGATGATGGCGTTTTATATAGTCCCGGTCTATATATGTCTTCCTTGTTGTTTTCACGAACGTCACCAGTTTCTTAAACCTCATCGCTTCACGTGGGGTATGCGTTCTTCCGCTCCCCTCCATGCTCACTTGTTTAGTAGTTTTATTGAGATCGACATCCTGTGTCCCTCCTCGTCCCACTCCACGCCCCGATTATCTTTGTATGAAAGGATTGTATGCATTAAGCGTTTAGTAGCAAGTCTAGTTTCCGCCAAATGCGCGTAGGATACTTTCCTTAGCCTCTGGCTAGAGGTGCGCACGGTGTGCGGTGAAATGCGCGCAAAGCGGGTTTCCCGCATGTCGCCACGACTTGGCACGCATCCGTCGGGTCCTTGCTTACGCTGCATTTGCAAGTAAGAATAGGACTTGAGTTGTGTAGGGTGTACGATATGTATGTTTCTCAAATGTTAAACCTGGATTGTTATATGTCCTACAAGTGTCTCATTCAAACAATAGAGATTTCTCTGATCGTACTTTGTGATCATGATGGTATGTTTCGAGTTTATATCTTTGATAATTCCGATGATGATGATGATGATATATTGTTATGTTAAAAGGGTTGGCGTCCGACGTTGAGTTCCCATTCCTTCCGTGTGTTGTATCTCCTTGAAAGGTTCGGGCGCGTAACCTTTCTCTAGTGGTAGATTTGTACGGTAGTGTTTTGTAGGAATGCTTATGAGCGATGTTTGAATTTACATTCAGATTGTATTTGAACATTTAGAACGATATTTGATAAAAATTGATCAATATAGTCATTTCGTGTAAGTCAGCTTGAATTTGTTCGCGCATGGAGAGAAGGAGGTATGAGTCGTAGCTGCTTTTTGCCTAGATGATGTACTGCAGATCATATTTGGATGTCATCATTTCCTAGAGATAGCAGCGGGCGAAAGTTTGGCAACTTATAGCTCAGCTTTTGACGATCCCACTGCTGTTTTCAACATCAGTAGGACACATTCTAACGGCTCAGCAGGTCCGAGAACTTCCACCTCATTTTTGACGCGGCTACTGATAGATTGCGAAAGGAGAGATGTGTGTACTTGGAAATTGTCTCTGATCTCGTTTAACATTGGCAGCA